CCTTCTCTCCTTTCCATCCTCTCGCTCTTTCCCTCCTCCTCCACTCTATTCCCCCTCCTCTCTCCTCCCTCACCCTGTCCTAGCTGTTCAGCTTCCACATCCCCGTGTCCCACCATCCACCCTCCTTGTTGCTTTTAAACCCATCTCTACTTTGGATTTCTCACATAAAAAAAAACCACGAGATATTTAACCTCCGTTTCTGATTTATTTCACTTCGCGTTCCGGTCTCAGGCTGCGTCGCAGGAATGACATTTTCCTAGGAATGACCCAGGCTTATCCTTCTTTATGACTGAGCAGTGGTTTGGACCTGACAGGCATTAAAACTTCGAAAAGGACACTTTTGGCTAATGTCAGGCCTGCGAATACCACAATGAGAAATAAATTAATACAATGTGAATTAAATTTGATAACTTTGTGCAGTCCCTTTTATAGACAAGCTTTGTATATATCTAAAACCAGTCTTCTTCGGCTTTCGCTCACTGTATAGTCCCTTGCACTGAATAGGATTTCTATCAATAATTACTGAACGTAAAACTCACCAAGAAATCTATCCAGACAAGATCAATAAATTTTAACACATTCCTCATACGAATTACAAGCCATTGATGGTTGAAAACTGTAGCACACACGCTGCTTCTGGACATGTAATCTGAGTGTGGGAAGAAAAGATCACTCATTTGTAACATTCTGTATAAAAGCTGAAAGAGACTTCTGCGGCTGCCCTGACGCCTGACATTTAGTCTTGCTGGAGCCTGTTCATGGGGGAAGCCCGGAACCTAAAACTGGGATTTTTCCGCAAGGAAATCTTGCTGGCGGTGCGCCTCCAAGCGCGGCTCACTGACCTTCCAAATTGAATTACGCGGTGCTGAAATGTGAAGTGCTCGCCACCTGGGTGGCTGCTTGCTCATTCACATGAGAAATCCAATCAAGAGCCCTCCAAGCCAAGCACCAAAGTTATAGGATAATCCCTGCAAAGGGAAGGAATAAAAATACTGTTCTTCACATTTCTCGCCCGCTTTCATCCCGGAGCCCCTTGGAGGCATGGTGCTGCCGAAGGAAACCCGATCACCTGGGTGACGAAGCTCCAGGGAGGGGGAGGCAGAACCCATCCCCAGCAAGCGCGGTGGGGTGTGAGGACCAGCAGCAGCCTGCCACCCGGAGCCCAGGCGGGCGCTGCCCGCGCTGCGCTGTGCTGAGGGGACTGCGCGGCTCCTGGAAGGGGCCACCCAGCCACGTCCCTCCGCCCTTCCAAGGCGGTGGACGAGCCACGTCCACTGCGCTGAATGCAGACGACATTCACTCGCTCCTACGGGTGACACTTTGCACAAAACTACAAGACATCGCAGGAAAGCCAAGCGCTTGCTGATCAGGATTTCCTATGCGACTTCATTACCTTGCGGACAACTGTAATCTCAAGTGACTTCAGACTGCTTGAAGGAAAAGATTACTGAAATACCAAATATTAGGGTTATTTGAAAAGGTCAGTTGAAAAATCACAATTTTACTACATTTAAAATTCATTAGGAAGTGAAATACTAAATGCAATGATTTTATATGAAAAAGGATTGAAGGAACTAAGCAAGCCCCTTAGCTACGTCCTGCATGTTTGCAAGCCAAGCAAACAGAACCACGCAGGAGGACTTTCAAATGCCACTTCATAGGCACTGTCTCCATGGCATCCGCAGAAGCTCAGATGCCACGGTATTGGCCTGCGTTCAGTATGCCACAGAATTTCTGTGCATTCAGCCACGTTCTTCTGAATACACTTGCTAATACTGTATTTAAAGTAATTTTAACTAATCATCTAACAGCATTACAACATGGTTTTAAAAAGTTTGTTGAAACAAATTTTTTAAAAATTGGTGCGTTTTTGATCAGCTGTGCCTTTCAGATTACTAAATACACATAGTGCTTACCTTGCTAAGTGAAATAAAATCAAATTATCATTTGGCCAGTGGCCAAATCAAAATCTAGGAGATACTTCCTGTTTCTGATATACCCTTTTGGCCAGGCAGGAAAACTTCAGCTATGTTTCATGCTATATTCTAAGTCGACAATAACTCAGTAACTGTAGGGCCCCTCACATTTTCTCCTCTCAGTACGCAGGCTGGGACTTGCATCCTTTCATTTTCACATCGGCTGTGCCACCAGGGCTGAGGGTCACACACCGCTCGCTAGCCGAGCAACTGAGCTGCGCTGAGATGCACAGTGCTGGTGGGTGGGGGAAGCCACGGTGGCCTGTCACAGGCCTCTGGCAGTCTGCTCAGATATGTTACAGCCTTTGGGACATTTCCTTTTCAAGTTGAAAACGTACTGAATTTTATTTCAGTAAATACCTAGCAGTATGATACATTAAATTCATTTTAAGTTTTCTTTCTGCACTTTGGTC